GATTTCTGAATCTCTGATTCAGAATTTAGAGCCGATTCACAAATTAGAGCTGAATGGGAATAGCAAGCCTCTGCCTTATGTAAAGGAAAGACAAATTAACAGCTGCTTCTGTGGTGGCAATGGCTTCCACACCTCAGTGAGCATCTGCAAGTGCTGCAATCACTCTCACACTGGAGAAAGTTAGATTGAGTCAACTGTGTCTTCTGAGTGCTGCTTTTTATAATTGCTCAACATGTTCACCTAACTGATATATGATTGAAAATAAAAAAGTGACATTATATCATTATACCATACTCTGCTTGTCATAAGAGAAAAGTATTTAATGTTGCTTCTAATTTTTGTGTCATGTCCATAAACTAAGAGTATAAACCACTTTTAGCTACTGTTGAGAAGTGGTATCGCTTAATTATGATAAATGGCTGTGTTACTGTTAGGGGATTTTATGTATGATTGATTAATTGAACTGTATTTCATGACACTCTCAAGAAAGGTTTTACAGAGGAAATATTCAGAAGCAACTAGTACAAATAAACATACAGGAAGGCATTTTGACTGTAAGACAAGTATAGATGTAAATATATGATGAAATGTTTGCACAAAGCATTTTGAGCACTGTTAAGTTATTCTGCAGCTATGACTATGCTATGTGAAGTCATCTTCATTTTTCTGAGTGGCACAGTGCCATGTTGTATTCAGACACTGAATAAATTTGTTGCTTGTAGTTTGATCTCACAGCAGATTATTTAATTTTAATTTTCAATTTGTTTCCCAAGGTAACTGACATCAATTAATATGGCAGAGATGGAAAATTCACATTAAACACTGCTGCTCCCCTGGGATGAGCTCTCTCAAAGCATGTTTGGAGTGAAATTAAAACCAGAATATTTTCTCATGTTTATTTTTTTTTTTGGTTATGGTCAGAAAATGCCTTTAAACATTAGGAAAACCGTGAGGGCTGGCGTTCCTCATTCCTGAAACATATCTGCAGATGTTTGACTTAACTTGTGATGTGTGCTATCATCTTTCTCATACCTTTTTATGGTCCATTATACTGAAATTCCTCCTATAATCTCTACACTGGGGATTCATTATCTTCTCCTATCAGACCTTTAACACCACTCTCTAATTACTGTCTGAGTGAGACAGATTTTCATATAGCACAATAGATTTTTTTCTGAATATTAGTTACATAAAGTGCAAGATGCACTTAGGATACTAGATGCAAACTTGATGTTTTAATAAAGAAAGACCTAGACTATGCATAGAGTTTTTTTAGTATTTGAATCCTCTGAAGTGTCATGGAATTAGGTTTTCCACTTTTTATTTAAAGATGTGATTTAGGGGATTTTGTTGTTGCAGAGATCAGGAAGAGTTTTGAATTGATCACTGCTTGAAAATTGTTATACTATTAAATTGATAAGGGTTTTGAACTGGGATCTCTGTTATCAAAGACTTAAAATGTTTTAGCAGTTATTTTTTAAATTCAAGATTTCTCTAGAAATTTACAGCCCAAATCCAGCAAAACATGTAAGTAAGATCCATCAAAGCCATAAGTTTTTTTAGCCTTTGACAATGATGCATGTATATATTTATGTTTATTTCAGTACACAGATCAGTCCAACTACAGAAAAGATGGTTCTTTTTGGCTTTTCTTTCGTAGTATAGTAATATGTGTATATAGTAATATGGGTATATAGTGCCTTCTGAATAAAAATACTCATATATATATATATAAAACAATGCTTACAGTATAAAGTATTATGGATAGTTATGTATTTGGAGTCTGGTTCTTGCTTTGAATTTTTCACTGCCTTTTTTGCTACATAGTAGTATTCAGCAATAAAAAATGAAGCATTACTGATGTCCCTGCAGCAGAAACAAATGAGTTTCTAAGTAAAAACTGAAATCAGAAATATAGAATGTTATATAAACATTCTTCAGTCTCTTGTTCTTAGCATTGTGTTTATTGATTCTTAAAATAATACTTTTAATTTTGATAGATGCCCCCTAGAAGCTGGCCTGACAACATTAGTATTACAGCATACTTTAAAGGGGCCTTTTCTGCCAAATATTTTTTTGCAGCAGCAGATCCAATGAAAGTAGTTTCTGCCTGTTTCTCCTTTTATCCACGCCACTTGTGCTGGGTCTGCAGCACTCCTCTGCTGTGCCATTCATTCCAGCTGTTCTGCTGATAACCTGTATCAGGGAATTAGTTATTTTTAACCCTGATACAGTTGCTGTGTGACCCTAAAAGCCCTTTGGGTGTCTCAGGGGCAGAAACAAGTGGTTTGGTGCACATGCTTATTAAAGCTATAGCACCTTTGAAAGACATAGTTATTGTCCTATATCTGCAGAGAGAAAAATGTAATACATAGCTGCTTCCAGAGTCACCAAAAGCTCTTGAGGATTATCTTTATAAAGTAGTGTCATATGAGGATGAAAGGATGTGATTCAATAAGATACAGTCAATAGAAAATGAATGAAAGAGCCTTTTTCAGATTCTCTAACTGAAATAAATCATAGAATTGTTTAGGTTGGAAAGACCTTTAAGATCATTGAGTCTAACCATTAACCCAGCACTTCCATCTTTACCATTAAACCATGCCTCTTAGCACCACATCTACACATCTTTTAAATACCTCCAAGGATGATGATTCTGCCATTTCCCTGAGCAGCCTATTCCAATTCTGAATGCTCTTTCCATGAACAAATGTTTCTTAATATCCAGTCTGAACCTCCCTTGGCAAAAATTGAGGCCAGTTCTTCTTGTCCTGTCACTTGGTAACCCTCACCTCACTATACTTTCTTTCAGGTCATTGTAGAGAGCAGTAAGGTCACCCCTGAGTCTCCTTTTCTCCAGGCTAAACACCCCCAGCTTCTTCAAGCTGCCCCTCATACGACTTGTGCTCCAGACCCTTCGCCATCTCCATTGCCCTTCTCTGGACACACTCCAGCACCTCAATGTCTTTCTTGAACTAAAGGGCCCAAAATTGGACACAGGATTTGAGCTGAGTGCAGGGGAACAATCACCGCCCTGGTCCTGCTGGCTACACTACTGCTGATACAGGCCAGGATCCATTGGCCTTCATGGCCACCTGGGCACACTGCTGGCTCATGTTCAGCTGCTGTCAACCAGCACCCTCAGGTCTTTTTCCACTGTGCAATTTTCCAGCTACTCTGCCCCCAGCCTGTAGCACTGCATGGGGTTGTTTTGACCCAAGGGCAGGACCCAGCACTTGACCTTGTTGAACCTTATACCACTGCCCTTATCACATAGATCCATCCTGTCCAAATCCCCCTGCAGAGCCTTCCAGTCCTCCAGCAGATCAACACTCCTGCCCAACTTGATGCTGCCTACAAACTGACTGAGGGTGCACTCAATCCCCTCATCCAGGACATCGATAAAGACATTGAACAGGACTGTCCTCAATCCTGAGCCCTGGGGAACCCCACTGTTGACGTGCCAACTGGATTTAACTCCATTCACCACCACTCTGGGCCCAGACATCTAACCAGTTTTTTGCCTGGGAAAGAGTGTGCTTGTCCAAGCCATAAGCAGCCAGTTTCTCCAGGAGAATGTTGTGGGAAATGGTGTCAAAGTCTTTATTTGAGTAGGGTAGACTTCATCCTTTCCCTCATCCATCAAGTAGGTCACCTTGTCATAGAATGAGATCAGGTTTTTCAGGCAGGTTTTGCCTTTCATAAACCCACGCTGGCCTGCTCCCCTGGTTGTCCTGCATGTTGCTGTGTGATGGCACCCAGGATGACCTTCTCCATGACCTTCCCTGGCACTGAGGTCAGGCTGACAGGCTACATCCTCCTTCTGACTCTTTTTGTGGATGGACATTACCTTAGCTAATGTCCCATCAACTGGGACCTCCCCAGTTAGCCTAGTAAAGTTAGCCTGGCTGCTGGTAAATGATGGAAAATGGCTTGGTGAGCTCTTCTGCCACTTCTCTTAGTAATCTTGGGTGCATCCCATCAGGCCCCATGGACCTGTGTGTGTCTAAGTCGTGTAGCAGGTCACTGATCACTTTCTCCTGGATTATGGGGGCATCATTCTGCTCTCTATCTCTGTCTTCCACCACAGGGCCTTGGTACCCTGAGGACAACTGCTCTTGCTATTGAAGACTGAAGCAAAGAAAGCACTAAGTACCTGAGCCTTTTTCTCATCCTTTGTCACTATGTTTCCTCCTGCAGCCAACAAAGGATGGAGATTCTCCTTAGCCCTCCTTTTGTTGATGATATATTTGTAAAAATATTTTTACTGTCTTTTACATCAGTAGTCAAATTAAGTTCTAGCTGGGCTTTGGCCCTGTAACAAACAGGGAACCCTTATTAAAATCAAAAGTGCAGCCTTTTTTTTAAATACGGTGTTCAAAAGTTATCACCTTAAAAAACATAAAAATCCTTTGATGTTTCCGAGCAACAGCTTCAGTTATGTGGTCAAATTCCCATGGTGTTAGTTGTCACCAGTCAGTTGTTTTTACACAAGATGCTAACCTTTGGCTTTGGATGGTTTACTGTTGAAGTGCACATACTAACTTTAGTCATATGTGTTGCTATTACAAAAAGGATTACAAGCATCAAGTAAATGAGATTAAAGTATCCATAACAAATGAGTTTCATTGCACTGTATCAGGTGGTTTTTAATAGCTGCTTATGAAGAATTAAAAAGGTTTTCTCATTAGAATTCTGCTCTTTCAGAAACCTCATCCATCTATGTGACCAAAAATATATCAGATAAAACAAGTCCTCTGCCATAATCACTCCGGTCCCCATTCATCCAAGAACTTAACTGTGCATGCAACTCTAGTTACCTGAAGCATTGAAGTCAGTAGGGGTTACATGCTTGAAAGGGCACATGAGATTAAGTGCTTTCCTGAACAAGGTCCTCAAAAAGCCATTATTTTAATGTACTTATGATAAAACTGGCATGTCATGGGAATTTAGAAGAGAAAATAAATGTTTTTAATTTTTTTCTTTTTTTTGTTTTGTAGGGGCACACATTTTTTCCTGTGATGATTTATAGCTACCAATAACCTTCCACAGTGGTTGTCTTATCAACTTACTGTTCTGGCATCTTCTGGTCTTGCTAGTAAACAAAAGAGAACTATTTAAGTGCAAAGCCAAGTACTCTTAATCTCAAGAGAGAGACTTTGTACAGTATGTTCTGTACAAAACTGAAAGACTTGAAGATCACAGGGGAATGTCCTTTCTCCTTACTGACTCAAGGTCACATTACTGAGGAACATGACAAGGACTGCACAGAAAACAGTTCTAGAGCAGCACTGCCCATCTGCAAAGAAGTCCATGAAAAAGATGGTCAAGCAAACCTTCCACAAAGGAAAACGAGCCGAAGTAGAGTGTACCTGCACACACTAACTGAAAGCATCTGCAAACTAATCTTTCCTGAGGTAAATAGATACTGCATAATAATAAAACTTTAATAGCGTTTAATTATAAATGTTAAAAAAGCATTCTATGCCCGCCTTTATCTGTAAGCCTTTAGAAAGTTGTTTTCATTTCAAAGCTTGTATTCTTATGTAGTTCTTCATAGTCTAAATCCTCATTTCATCTGCTTCCATTCCTTTTGGATATAATTTGCCACAATCTTTTTTGTGCACACCATTCCTTCCACTGTATTTCTCTATATATTTGCCTTATATTTGCAATCTTCCACTAATCTTTTTAATTGTTCCTTTTAAATCTGTCTATATCTGTAGCATTTTTTTTACATAGAGATACAATTATAGAAACTCTGTCTTGTTACCTAATTATGTAAATTGTGGGGTCATGTCATCAATTCACCTAACTGAATCCATACTGCTAAGTGCATTAGTCATTATCACAAAAAAATTAAAATAGCTGTTTCCATCTGCTATGATGCTAACCTCCTGTCATACTATTTTTAAAAACATTATCATTTGTGTTTACCACAAAGATATTCTTATGTCTCTGCTCAACTTAAATGAAAACAGGTACAGTGCAGGCTTGCTTGAGTGGAGATGAATACCGTGGTTTATCTCTGTAAAAAGAACATGAAAAATGCAGCTCCATAACATTTAACACTTGGCCTTGCCTCAAATTCTGTGGAAGGTTGAAGGAACTGACTGATATATATTGGGACTACAAATGGCAAATGGGCAATTCTGTACACTCATTTAATTACAATTCCGTTATGGACATTCAGTGTACCTTATTTAAAGTGCTGGAGTTTTCTTAAGTCTGTTTGCAGATCTGGTTATGCAGCTCTTCGTATCTATTACCCATTCACTAAACCTCTAGATAATCAATTTTTGATAAATCTATTTTTACCTCTGCTGCATTTACACAGACGAAATCCATCCCTTTCAACCTGTGAACTGATCTTTAAATTTACAAAGGAGAATACTTTTAATCCAAGAATGAATAAACTGGCAAAGCACCGTTTCTGTGGTGTCATGATAGCTGTTTTGCTTTTCTAGTATATAGTTAGTGGGATTTTTAACGAAGTAACTGATTTTTTTCTCTTTAAAGAGTGGTATAAATGTATGCAGCTGCCTATTATATAATCATGATAGGCTAGTTCATCATCTGTGACAAAAGCTTGGCAAAGTTAAAGATATTATGATCAAGTCATATTCATTGGAACTTTGTCCAAGTATAGTAGTCTGTTCTCATGCTGATTGGGGGTCAAGACCTAAGCATCTTCCTCATCTCAGTTTTCCATAAATGGTTTTTGCTTGTTTTCTACATTTTGAATCCATGGTACTGTGGGGTTTTTCGGGGGGATGTGTAATATTAGAAAGTTGTGTTAGTTATAGTTATTTCTTAGAAGCACTGTCTTTATTGCCACCTGAAAACCTGGAGGTGAAGAACATCACTGTATTTAAATACACAACCACTGGTGCCCATGAGCTTAGGGGCTTAATTATAGAGATACTGGAGCTGAAGACATCAACATAAAGGAAACCCCAAACACAGAAATGACATGCTGTTTCTAATAGCAATACCATCTTAAAAAAAGATGTTCATCCCAAGGACAGCGAAGTAATTCTTTGTATAAAAATGTTATTCTTATGATTAAATTTTCAGCAATGACATTTCAATCAATATACATATTTCTTTCCCCAGTTTGAAAGGCTAAATCTTGCACTTCAGAGAACACTTGCAAAACACAGAATTAAAGACACCAGGTATGTATGTGTGATGGGCTTGTTACTAACTTCACTGCAAAAACATTTTTCAAACAGTTCATAGGGACTGATGTGGTGACTGGGAATCAGGACTTCTGGAAACTGTTTTCAATTATCTTGTCAAATTGTTGTGTAACATTTCATGTAATGCAAGTTAGTAATGATTTATTTTATTTTAAAATATTCACAAATATTTATATCACTCACAAAGTTGACTTAATGGGCAAGTTTAGCCATTTGTACAGGGAAACAGGCAAGGACTTTGTTTAAAATGAGCAAGTGTTTTGGAGGAATTCAGAGACTGCTTGGGCATAGATGGAAAGATATGGTTGTGTATGGGTCTAGCTCAGTGTTTCTAAGATCCCAAGGAAAGAGTTTTAAATACTAACAATTAGTATTATACAAAAGAATTTGGCTTCTGATACAGTGAACAATCATATGCTCCAGATACTGACATATGTTTTCCTAAGCTCACTTGGCTTCTGGTTTCTGTTTCTGAGGAACTCAGTTTGATTTTAAGCACTCCTTAGTACTAATCCAATATTAATCATTTGAGCCTTGTATGGAGTGAGAATTTATTAGCATCTCACGATACACTGAATATTCAATTTATTGAATGCATGTGAAAAAATAAGCCCCTCAAGTTAAATCTCTTTTCCAAGTGAAGAAAAAAATTGAAGTTGGAAACTACACTGTTGCTCACCATGAAAAGAATAGATAATTTCAATGTATCTTTTTTTAAATTGATATTTTTAAAGCACTTTACATACATTGACTGAAGCAAAGACAGCTGGTCAGATGTGCATTGGAATTGCTGACTGGCTTATTGCTATGAATGTTTGCCCTATCTCTAATTATATGTTTCTTCCTGGAGTACTGGTTTAAAACAAAAAATTACTATGATATTCTTAATGAAGTAATAATGCAAATGTAAAACAAATCTAAATGTCTGTATTGCTTTTGCATATCTATTGTATTTCAAGTGAAGAAATTCCGAAAGCTTGGATCGGGAATTTATTGTTATATGGAGGTTAATCTATGCTACATGTCCTTCTCATAATTTTGAGTCAGACATTCAACAAACAGGTTGATGTTTATTGTCCTCAGAGAACTCAGAGGTCTGCAGTTTTGTGTCAAAAATTTGGATTACTATCTGTGAAAAAATAATTTTGAAATTCATAGTTGTTATTGGCATTTCCTCTCAAAGCAGAAATACCTTCTCACCTCTTTTTAATTTAATGCAACGTAATTCCAAAAAATGCTCGAATATAAATTCCAATTGTATTACAAAACACATTATAAAATATAGTTATAGCTTCAAGAGAAAAACACAAACCAAATAAAAAACAGGACTGTTGCAATGACAGGGAAGAGAATGTGGCCTCAATCCATAATTTGAGCTCAGACCACCAAAACTTTAATTCACCAAAGGATAATCTAAGATCCTACCAGGACCCTATTTTTAATTAATTAAAAACTTCCTATTTGATCAGCAAAACTTGGTTTGTACACATTAAACACAAAGTATGTAACTTCTGTACTTACTATGTTTACTATGCTTATCTTACATTTTTAGGGCTTTTATTTGTATTTTTATGATCTTTACAGAATAACTGGGGATAGTGAAGATTTTGAAAAAATTATCAGTGATCATGCTAATGCAGCAGGTAATGTAAACTTGTTTAATAGTAGAGAAATAGATTATATATGCCCTATATGTAAAAGAATATATTCTATATAAATTAGTCTTGTTACTAAGAAATCATTTCTTCCATGTAAGGGTTGTGGTGATGCTGCCAAAACAGAGGCAACATCTGTGATCTCTGTGATGTCTGTGAAACTCTGATCTCTACAACTAAAATCAAAATTTGGGCTAAAAAGACAAGTTTCTTGAGTCTGAGCTGTCACAGAATCATCCACCCCTAAGATCCAACATCCGGAAGGAATTATACATTAGTAATAAGTTACAGTTTTATACTAATGAAAAACTTTGATCCTTTTCATCTTCTGAAGGACTGTAGTGTGTCAGAAGAGAACTGCTGTAATTTTAAATACGTAACTCTGGCTACATCTGTAATAGTAAATTAACATTTCCAGGAACTGAAATATGGTCTTCCATACACAGTTGGTCTGTGACAGACAACACTTTTCCAAATGATTCCCAGTAACATCTGGGGAATTGGAACATTCCCAACAGTCACTTTGCATCCAGTTATCCTGTTAAAACCAATTTACTAGCAAAGATGTGAGCCATTCTGTGCCAATTGGCCTTAGTGCTCTGGAATATTCCTAGAGTCATTTAATGTATCAGGCATAGTACTTATATCTGCATATCCTATTTTATTCTTGTGTTAATTTTTAAAATTCTTATTTTACTGCTTTATATGAATCTAAGGGAGTTGAGTTAAATCTTGTGCCAAAGTGTGTATTCATTTTGTTTACATCTCTTCAAAGAACATCTGATCCTGGATGTTTTTAAACTACAACAATTGCCTCCCTGTTTCCAGGCCCCATTTCCAGGACTCCTAAATAAGAATGCCCTCAGGTGTCAATGATGGATCAGGGAAGGATATTGCTAATTTGTTTTGGCCTAGGATAAAACAATGTGGAGGTTAGCCTTTGATTCAGAATGATGAATGCATTTCTGACTAAAATGTGGTTCCATGCAGGTGTTCCCGTGGAGTCTCTACGGGAATCTCTCGGTGAAGAGCTGTTTAAAATATGCTATGAAGAGGATGAACACATATTAGGGGTTATTGGAGGGACCCTTAAGGACTTTTTGAACAGTTTCACTACCCTGCTGAAGCAGAGTGGCCACAGCCAAGAAGCAGGAAAAAAGGACAGACTTGAAGATGCCTCCATATTATGCCTGGAGAAAGACCAGGACTTCTTAAATGTGTATTACTTCTTTCCTAAGAAAATCACAAGTCTTATTCTGTCTGGTATAATTAAAGCAGCAGCTCATATTTTGTATGAAACTGAGGTGGAAGTGATGCTCATGCCTCCTTGTTTCCATAATGACTGCACTGAATTTGCTAATCAGCCTTATTTGCTGTACTCTATACAAGTCAAAAGTGCAAAGCCTTCCTTATCTCCCTGTAAACCACAGTCTTCACTTGTGATTCCTGCCTCTGTGTTCTGTAAGACCTTCCCATTTCATTTTATGTTTGACAAGGATATGTCAGTTCTTCAAATTGGAAATGGGATAAGAAGACTTTTGACCAGGAGAGAATTTCAAGCTAAGCCCAATTTTGAAGAATATTTTGAAATTCTTACCCCCAAAGTAAGCTGCACTTTTAGTGGAATAATGACAATGCTAAATATGCAGTTTACTGTACGAGTTAGAAGATGGGACAATACTGATATGAAACCATCCATGGTAAGAGCTCTTTACTGCTATTACTTCTGTGAGGAATTTGTTTTCTTCAGATGGAGTTAAAATATCCAAAAAACATGGTGCATTTTGCATTTTCTACCTCCAAATATCTAATATAACTGCATAATAATAATTTATTTAGGGTACTCAAATGTTATTCAGATTCTGAAGCCAATTTCGGTCAAAACTCTGCTTTAGGACTTTTACCAAGTAAAATCTGAATGCTAACTTGATTTTTTTGAAATAATTTTAAATATTGAGGTAAAGCCAGTGATATGCCATGCTTCTGAGAATAAGGACATCTCCAATACAAAGAGAGTGTCAGGGAAACCTTTAACAAAGTGCCCCTGAATCATTTGGAAACAACAGCTCTAGGATTTGGGGAAAAGAAGTAGATGTTTCCTTCGATCATTCAGCCTTTGGTATCTTTGGCATTTTGATATCTTTTATATTCTGATGTTTTCATCAGATGCAACCACCAAAGGTTCCCCTTAGTTTCAGCTGATGGGATTAGTTACTATCTTTGCTGAAGTTGGGTCTGTGACAAGTGACCTGGGACAGTAAAAAACATGACTGTTTTTATTCATTCCTGGTCCCAGCTGAATTCCAGTATATTTACACCTGAGGCAGTCCAGGATGAATTACCAGTTCAGACTCAACATTCCAAGAATTTAAGGGAAGAATAGAAAAAAGTTTCACTCATTTATTAATGTAGCTACTTTTAAAAAATGTAGCTACTTCATCTCAGATCCATTTCTGCACTAGAAAATTTCAAGGGGTAGTAGACTTAGCTTGGCTTTTGCATGTAATTGCATATGCAAATGACTATTAGCAAGGAATTAGAATTAGAATATGTTATTAGAATAGTGGTCTTTCAAAGCAGTGTTAAGCTAAGCTCTGCAGCACCTTGCATATTACACAACTGATTACAAAAAGAACATAAAACCACTTCATACAAAATATATTTCTTTTTTTGATCATTAAAATGGAACATTTCTTCCATTTGTGACTTTAATTTTAAATTGCACTGAGTACTGCATATCCTATGATAAAACTGAAGCAGATTTTTTCCCTTTATCTTACAGAGGAAAGTGCACGAACTAGAGTTATTAGTAGAAATTCATAGGCCACTCTAATCAGTAACAGTTTATGAAAAGATGAAAATGCACAAAATTTCATTATTTTCATTTTTCTTTTTCTCCTAAGCTAAAACTGATACTGATACTCAAACATAATTAGGTGTTTATCCTTAAGTTGGGGTCTAACTTTTGTACCAGAAGACTCAATAAAAGTGAACTTATTTGATGGCTCTATGATTCAGCACCCCATGTTGTCTCTTAAGCAACTGCATGCAAATGTAAGGACTATGGACCAGTCTTGATTTTCTTACATTTCAGCAAAATGTATTTCCTCTAAAACTTCTTGTTTCTAGATCATTGCCATGCATGTTTTGCATGAATTCTTGTTTCTTTAACTGTTTCAGGTAATGGATCTTAAAGGCCAAATGATCTATATTTTTGAATCCAGTGCCATTCTATTCTTGGGATCTCCTTGTGTGGATAGACTAGAAGATTTTACAGGACGTGGATTGTACCTCTCAGATATTCCCATTCACAATGCGTTGAGAGATGTTGTTCTGATAGGAGAGCAGGCCAGAGCCCAGGATGGACTGAAGAAGAGGTTAGGAAAGCTAAAGGCAACCCTTGAGCAGGCCCATCAAGCACTCGAAGAAGAGAAGAAGAAGACTGTAGATCTTCTGTTTTCAATTTTTCCTGGAGAGGTTGCTCAGCAGCTGTGGCAGGGACAAGTTGTACAAGCCAAGAAATTTAATAATGTCACAATGCTTTTTTCTGATATAGTTGGATTCACTGCCATCTGTTCCCAATGCTCACCTATGCAGGTTATCACCATGCTTAATGAGCTTTATACTCGCTTTGATTACCAATGTGGAGAGCTAGATGTCTACAAGGTACACCATTCATTGCTTTTCTGTGGGATTCTGGGGCAGGAAAGGAAATTAAGACTAAGTAGGACAGAGGATAATAGAGGTCCAATAATCATTTTGCCATAAACCATTTTTAAATGACAGATAAATCACAAAAAACCCCAACAAAAAATCAATATAAACAGCTGTTCATGCAGCCAAGAGAGAAACCCATCAAAACTTTAATTTTAAAATTTAATTTCAATGACAGTACTGTGAATCTGGAATAAATAGGTGTTTAATATAGCTATGGGTGCCTGACAGTAGATGAACAAGGAAAAATATTTTAGAATTATGCCCAGCAATAAATATAAGTTGTGCAGTTTTTTCCTTTTGCATGATACTGAAGGATTTGTCCAGGATAAGTTTGCATGAAAAATAAAACTTGGTCAATATGTAGCTACAATTCTTACTGAAGTCAGACTATTCTTTTATATGTATCACACAGTCTAACAGTAAGGTACAAATATGCCTTTTAGGTTGAGACTATTGGAGATGCCTACTGTGTTGCTGGAGGCTTACACAAAGAAAGTGAAACACATGCTGTTCAAATAGCACTGATGGCCCTGAAGATGATGGAACTGTCAGATGAGGTGGTGTCTCCCCATGGAGAGCCTATCAAGGTCATATATTTTATTGTATTTTATATGGTTAAAGTGGGCATTTTTGTTTGTTTAGTTGCTTTTTGAGGTTTTGACTCAAGGAAATTTCACGTCATTGCATCAACTCAGACAATTTGGGGAATCAAATGACTTTTTTAATTCTGTTAATGAGAGTTTTGTGGTGAGGTACAGGTGAAACAGAGATCTGAAAATCAACCCAAAAGACTTTAATGCAGTGAAGCCAGTATGTACAATCTGACATGCTACAGTTTTTGTCTCAGCAGCAATAAATTTGTCAGTGGCATGGAATATTCTGTTTTCTAAAGAAATTACTAATCCTCTCTCAAAATTAGACATCTATGTTTTTTGACGTAGCATCTATGAATAGGAATGACTAAAGACATGTTCTGATTGTAGTAATCCAGATATCTTAAATGATTCCATTACAGTTCTTGTTTTACAGTCAGATACTGAACGACTACCATAAGATAATGGTGTTAATGCTGTCAAAGCAACTGTTAGATTCAATGGTAGTTATATTTATGGCTTCCTTTCAGTGAGGAATTCAGCCATCTTTGCTCTGTGGGTGGATTTTGCTTTTGTTGCAGGTTTTTCTGCTTTAACACTCAAAATTAGAAATTGCAACTTCTTCATAATGATATGATATTCTTTTGATATGAAAAGAGTAGCACACATAGTAGACATGCAAGCTTGTTGGCATCATGCCATTATTGTGTCAGAATGCTGTTCTGAAGAAAACATGTCTACATATGTATAATGCACATGAGAAAAAGAACACACCTCCAAAAAAACCCACCAAAAAACCTCATAGAAAGCAGCACCAGCTAAGTAAAAGTCAAAAATCTGAGTATGAGTTAAAAAAAAGAGATATCAAAATATTGCAACTGCTGTTGGTTCCCCAGGACTGTTTTGGGGCCAGCTCTATTTAATATCTTTATCAGTGACCTGGATGAAGAGATCGAGTGCATCCTTCAGTCACTTCACAGGCAACACCAAGTTGGGCGGGAGTGTTGATCGCTGGATTGACAGGCAGCTGAACATGAGCCAGCAGTGTGCCCTCGTGGCCAAGAAGGCCAATGTCATCCTGGCCTGTATCAGCAATAGTGTGGCCAGCAGGACTAGGGCAGTGATTGTCCCCCCATACTAAGCACTGGTTAGGCTGCACCTTGAATCCTGTGTTCAGTTTAGGGCCTCTCACTACAGGAAAGGCATTGAGGTGCTGGAGCGTGTCCAGAGAAGGGTAAGGAGCTGGTAAAGGTTCTGGAGCACAAGTCTTATGAGGAACAGCTGAAGAAGCTGGGAGTGTTTAGCCTGGAGAAAAGGAGGCTCAGTTGCTCTCCACAACTACCCAAAAGGAGGCTGGAATGAGTTGGGGGTCAGTCTCTTCTCCCAGGTAAACAGAACAACAGGAATTGGCCTCAAGTGTTGCCAGAGAAGGTTTTGAGATTGGATATTGGGAAAACATTCTTAATGAAAAGGGTTGCATTGGAACAGACTGCCCAGGGAAGTGGTGGAGTCACCATCCTTGGAGTCACCATCTACACATTTAAAGGATATGTAGATGTGGTCCTTAGAGACATGGTTTAGTGGACTTGGCAGTGCTCAGTTACTGGTTGGACTTTATGATGTTTGAGGTCTTTTCTAACCTAAATAATTCTTTAACTGAATTATGAAAATTCAGTAATCTGGGACTGGGATTTAATCTATGTGTGACCTTGTCAACAGAGTTCAGTTGGAACTGCAGGATATACTGTCTTTGCAATTCCCTAAGACTTGTCTTCTGACCTGAACAGCAAAGCAAGTACTCTTCATGAACTGTCAGCAGTCTTACATTGTGTCATGTAATTCCTCCCAGAAAGTATCCAAGTGCCATCCTGCTGATGCTTCTAGATCAATTTACTGCCACAGAGACCAGCAGTTCACAGGCATATTTTGATATGGGAGGATTATTTACTAAAAATGCAATGCAAGATAAACTTCAGCTAGTTCCCTCTCCATGAGCAGTGATGACCAGAATACAGATATTTTAAGGAGACTGTGCTAAATCAATGTATATTAGTAGCTCATTATATTGTTTTTTTAATAGAGGAAGAATTTATAAAACTGATCTTACCCATCCTGTTTTACCTAATAATGCTGTTTTCTGTCTTTTACTTAAAGATGCGTATTGGCCTTCATTCTGGATCTGTCTTTGCTGGAGTTGTTGGGGTAAAAATGCCTCGTTACTGCCTTTTTGGAAATAATGTAACCCTTGCCAATAAGTTTGAATCTTGCAGTATACCTAGAAAAATAAATGTCAGCCCAACAACTTACAGGTACAGTGCTTGATATATGTAAAATGTGCACCTAGTTGCTGTAGTAGTCCATTATCTTCTTTTTCTTTTTTATTTCCCTGAAGCACTGCTATTTATTTTCCTTTTTCTCTTTTTATCTGACTGCTCATGAATGCACCGCAGTTATTAGTAGGCAGAATTCAACCAGCAGTAGCAAGAAAAAATGTGAAACAGAACAGCTGATACTTATTTTTCAGATCTTACATTTAAAATAAATGGACTGTCTGGACCAATTTTGCTTTTTACCCCGCAGCTGTATATGTGTTGCTTTTTTTTCCTTCTTCTCTCATATAGTTTGCTCTTCTTTGAGCTTTCACTGTGAACTGGATGCCAAACTGGCTGCAGATGCCCTTGAAAGTAACAACCTCACTGAAGAACTGTTAAACATCACTCTACACATTGTCATTCTCTTTTGGTTAGGAAAGATGAATTATTAGGTTGCAATGAGTCAACCATGCCGGTGTTTAGCTTACACAGGTCTTGATCACCAATTCAGTTTAACACTTTTAGTATGGAACTTAAGGTTGTACCATTTATCCACTCAGATATTTTTAGTAATGTGAACTCTGTGGTTATGCAGACAGCTAGCAGACTCTCCCATGGGAAATACAGCATCTTTCCTTTGTCCTTTAAACCTAACACTCTCTTTGTATTATCTGTTTAATTGTACTTCAAAATCACCTTGCAACATGTTCATGGCCAAGTAATAATGTCTTATAGATGCCAGGCAAGACAATAGGAAACTGTTTTGAATTTTATGCCACTGCTCTGACAGAGATTATTGTTTCTTCCAGAGTGGCCAAAAGTTTTATAAGAATGTACTGTAGAGAGTGAATCTACTAACACAAAAGTGATATGGCTGGCTGGGTAAAGTAACCAGAAATATTATAAATTATTTTCTACATTTTAAGGAAGCTCAGCTACCTCAAGTGTAGCCTGGGCTGTAGTCTGTTGTTTCTACACAGCTTGTACTCACTGCCATGTATCTGATAATGCCTTGTGGCAAGATTCTGTGTCCAGCGTCAGACAGAGAATTTGGCACAGGATCCTGACATCCCCTGCAGCATGTGCTGTGTGACATAAAGGGTGCCAAGCTTTAGATTATCTTGTATAGGTGATTTAGAAAAAGTAGCACAGGTATTAGAGCACACAGAAAGTAACCTTTTTGATTATGCACTCTAAAAACACAGAGATAGCATTAGCCTTGCCAGTGCTTATGTATGTCAGAAGAACAGTGCTGGCCCACAGTGACTGTTTTTCCATCCCTGTATGTAAAATCATTTTAAATAATACTGACTACGGTCTTTTTTTAAAACCATTAGACACTTTGTCCACACAAGACTTGCCTATAACTGGTGGCATAAGTAGGTTTCTGCATGCCTGTGTATTCATCTCCAGAGAATATTTGAAATTAGTATACTGTTGAAAAAAATATAAATCTCTGAGTGCCTAGAAAGTAGGCAATTTGATTAACAGGTAAACTGTTGTTATTATAGTTGTGTTTCTTTTTTTTCCTGAGTGATGAAGATGTTCTTTTTATTTGGTGTTTTTTTCTTTTGATTCATTCACCAATTCTAAACACATATTGATAACATTATGGCATCTTGAACAACTCCGGTATATTGCAGTAATTGTTTAAAAGTTTAGATACCAGTTATCAATATTTATCCTGCAGATTAGCAATCTCTGTCTCAACCTGTGAAAAAGCAAAAATATTAGAATTGGTAGAAGGATCTGATTAGTTTAATTAATAAGTTTTACAGTATTTCATTCTTTGAAACATTAATTATGGTGCCTTTGATGTGCAGACGTGAGCTAGTTTTCAGCACTAAACCATCTTTGAAAATATTTACAACAAACATAGCTCCTACATGCAAAACATTGACAAGACAAAAAAAGAGGTGATACTTCTACTCGCACTGATGCACAAGTTTATAGGTTACCAAATAAACAGTATCTTTTTATATTTTCAGTAAATAACATATAAAGATTAATTTGGATTCTGCCCTGCCATACATAAAGAATTATTTAATGTCTGCACTTAATAGTGACTGATTCATTTTTAATCAAGATGATTAATTTTTGTTCTAGGTTGTTAAAGGAATATCCAGGATTTGTGTTCACACCCCGCTCAAGAGAAGAGCTTCCACCAAATTTTCCCAGTGATATCCCTGGAATTTGCTACTTTCTGGATGCTTATATTCAAGGAACAAACTCACAGACTTGGTTTCAAAAGAGAGATTTGGGAGATGGCAATGCCAATTTTTTGGGTGAGGAAACAGGAATAGACTAAATTGTACATTCAGAAATGTATAGAATAAATTTATAAATATTTGGATTTTTTTTTGTATAAATTGAAAATTTTTAAAACTGTATGAAACATGCAAGCACTTTAGATCGTTAACACCTGAAAGCCAGTATTAAAATTTCAGCAAGTATGTCACTGACTACTTTTTATTTTTCCTTTGCATAAGGAACATAGTCACTAAAGTAATGTTGCAGCTTCACAGTTGGAAATGCTACTATAAACTGTATTTTCCTTGTGGTAATTTGTTAGTGCTACGTAATAACTCAGTTCTCTCTGTACTGAGAATTCTAGATGTATTGTATATGCAGTTTGTCAGGAAATGTAATGTGCAAGTGATGCAGCCACATGCAGTGTTGTGAGCTGGTGCTTATCAATGACTATTAAAATGTATTTTCTTAGAGATTCCATAAGAAAATGTCCATTAAAATAGTGTCATTGCTATCACATACTCCTCCCAGTGCATCATTTGGGCCCCATCCTAGAAGTTGCTGACCATCTTCTCACACTGACTGGAGTCAAATTATGAGGGTGCTCAGCATTTTCTGGATCAGGCTGCTAATTGTAGCTAATAAACATGCATAGCAGAGTTGCCGCTTACTGTTTCATGAACTTTATTTTGTGTATAAAATTAATATAGATTAAAACACTGTATAATCACATACTAAAGTCTGTAATCATCAAACTATTTTAGTTCTTAGGGTTTTTAAAATACTTAAAAATAAAAATATCCCCTTGTTATTATGTATTACAGCAATAAATGTTTTCTTCTTGTTGTCATTTAAATTTGAAATGTTTTAACAGAAGTATAATAAAACATGATTTGGAATGTTTGCTTAGAAAGGAAATTCCAGTTAGACTGTATAAAATGGAACAGAAGCACACCAGCTTAAAGCTATGATCCTTATTCAAGGATGCAATGTGGGGTATGACATGTTATGGAATGGCCTATCATATGCTCACTTTAAACTTGCCAGGAGAATCTTCAAGTGAGCAGAAATGCTTTAAAACATAGGAACATATATACAAAGATTAATATTACTACAGTACAAGCTTTTTTGTTGTGGATGATGGAAAATGAATGAAGAACTCTAAAGGGTCTGCCTCTGGTTCTGGCAGAATAGAGTTAGTTAAAGAGTTGTGCATTTAGGATTCTGTCTGATCTGTAAGTAGCAGATCCATCTGCCCGGAAATTCCTCTGTGCCGTACAGTGTAATCCCAACTGCGGGCTGGAGAATTGCAGAGCTTACACACACTACTATTTCCAGTAGTATCAAATATTATTAGTTATTATTCTAAACTCTTAAACTGGGTGTTTGGCATATCAAGCCATAAAAGTCTTTCTTCAAGCTACTTGTCACTAAATCAGATTTTGCTTTCTGAATATTTACAGGGAGCAATTACATTAGACTAAGGTGCCATTTTATTAATTTTCTGATCTTGACTGGTACATTCTGAAGCTCAATATACCATTTTATCCTGCTATTTTGTGGTAGAAACTCATACAGAACATGTAGCATCAGAGCCTTGAGAAAAGTCCTTATAAGAGTCTAGCATTAAGAACATTTTAAAACTGTATTTCAATTCAGATTTCCTGTAAGCAGCATTTGAACAAAACTTGAAATATTGAATCCTTCTAATGCTTGAGGTCTACTATATCCATCTAAGATGCTTAGAAATAATTCTGTGACACAAAAATGGAACCTGAAAGTCTGTGTATCGTATATAAACATATTTCTCTATTGCACACACACGTATACAAGCCAGCATATCTGTAGCATTTTTGACAGTAGTATTTCAAGGAAACAAGAACTATGCAAATTTTGATCTTTGCAATATTATATTGGTCAGAAAATTCTATTTAATTGACAAAAATACCTAGAGGTTACTAGCAGTCCCATGTCGGTGCTCCCAGATATAAAAATGTGGGAATATTTGACGACTGACTCTTCAGTAGGCTTATGGTATTAAGCCAGTAATGACTGAGGTCAGCATGAATATATCCATCACTGTCCTTTATTGAATGTTAAAAAAAAACAGGCTTTTAAATAAAAAGGATTTCTTTCTCCAGATCTACTGAATAGGAGGGATGCTTAGGAGGGAATTTTCTTTTGTCCCTAGAAAAGAACAGTTGCTGGACTAGACGATGGCCATGCTCAAGGCCAAATTCTGTATAAATCTGTCATTAAATAGGATGTTTATCATGGCAGCTCCTGACACCTTCCTAAGTGGTGTCAACCTTCAGAGAAGAATTCTGGTAAGGTGTACACAGAAAGCAACATGCCTGAATCTCAGTGAAGTAAATAGGATTTAGACATGTATTTAAGACAGTAATTCACAAAAGTGCTTTAAAATGTACTTGTGTTCAGACTAGTTCTGCAAAAAAGCCACAAGTCTGTTTAGCTTTAAGTATAATTTAAGAATTTCGATTTCACTGAAGCTGTTCTTCTGTTTAAGTTTTTTTGCTGAATAAATATGTATTTAATAAGGGACAATTATTTTAACTGATCTTTTCACTTAGATCTAAAATATTCCTTTCACTTTTTAACTAATCTTTTCACATAAATTAAATCCAGTTGAAAAAGAAAAAAGGAATCAGAAAGCCAATAAGCAAATTGTTGAGATAAAGAAAAGGAAGGCAATTTAACCCATGCAATACTGGGATATTTTGCAAGAAAATAAAAGAGTTGTTTGATATCTTGTATTATAGTGTGTTATATTGTGGAAATCTTCAGAGACTATGCAATGTTATTTACATAAATATACAAAAACCGTAGTATTATGTCCAGAAACACTTTTTTTATATCTGAAATTTTATTTTATTAGTTCATGAAGATTCTGTGGGGCTGATTCCCATTCACATTTACACTGTGATGGAAGATACATTTTTATTACACTGCAATTTCTTTGCCAAAGAGGTGTAAATGGCCCTTGAAATAAATAAAAAGTGGGTCCTTTGAATCTTAGCAGTGATACAGCTAAAGAGAAAGCTATAGCAAAAGAATTCAACTAATTTGATTTCATTCAGGCATGACCTGTAAGATTCCAGGAAGATGTTGGAAAAAAAATTCACACTGCTGGTATCAGAGGAAGTACAATTAGCGTGGAGGTGATATTTTCTTTCTCACTGAACTGCTGTGCAAAACCAAAGCAAACGAACTCACACAAGCTAACAAAACAGTGAAGTGCACAGATAATTGAGCCCCTGGGACAGATCTACTTTTTCCTAGGAAATCTTATGAAGGAAGAATTCAGACCTCCCCCAAACCCAGTTTATTTCTCCCATAATTTTATTTCACAATCTTTTCAGAAACAGCTGCAACAAGCAATACAGGAGGCAAAATCAGTATTTCCAACCGAAAGCCATCAGAATTAAGGGGAATTGCTCTTGAATCTTGGCTAGGAGACTCTTTTTCAAACCCCACCCATCCTACAACCTACCAGGCTACTCTAGCTGCTACCGTTTTTTTTTAACGCCTGCTCATTGTTCTGCAAAAGCAGTGGGAGATTTGTTTCCTGCAAAAGCAATAACTTTTGTGGCTATTTGCCATATGGTGTACAACGTACTGAGTTGCTTTCAAAGTCCTGCTCCAGTTTATCATAAGCCAGCTTGGCAGGGACCAAATTTAACTGAGGCTATTTCTGAAATGAGAGCTGGGACTTTCTTTTCTACCTCTAAAATCTGCAAGATGTGCGCCACAACAGTCTTTAGAGACCTCTAGAACCACTCTGATGGTATGGCTGCTCACAACTGCATAGGAAGGAAATAATCAGATATAAGCTTATTTTTTTTTTAACTTCCCAATCCATTTGCATGAGTTCACTGGTAGACCTTTTCTGCAGAGCACAGAGGGAGAGTAAAAGTCACTGTCTTATATTACTCAGCATTGCTCTGATACTGAGGCAGAAATAAAAGATGGGAAATAATCGATGGTTCTGAAACCTTCGATGCAACCAGATGGTTCCAGATGCAACCATTTAAAGATACATACTCTCCTGAGCACAAACAGAAGGATCTGAATGTTAAATATGCAGTTAGGCTGGAACATGAAGCTGGAGAGCCAGTCAAAGAAATAATAAACTGTGAAAGAATCTGAAACAAAGTAAACAACCTTATAAAGTTGTGTGTCTCATCTGCTTCAGCAGACTTTTGATGCTGAAAGCAAAGTCGAACCAGCGGTTTCCTAATATAAATGTAAATGAGCACATTGCTTTGCAGTCCCATTATAAGGCATCCTTTGAAGATCTGTGCTAAAATTGTTTCTCATCTTCTGAGCAGTACAAAGTTACAAATTTTTGTGCAACTACAGCAAACAAACACCATGTTTACATGCACATTCTGCACACACAGCACATAATGGGAAGTAACTGAGAGAATGCATGCAGTAACATCCCAAGGATATGAAAAGAGGTAGATTAAGTCATAGATACATTTCCTCTCTCCTGATTTTTCAGCCAGAACAAAACCTGCCAAAGAAATATCAAGGACAAATGCGTTACCAGGGGCTTTGGAATACAAGCATGTAAAAATGAATAGGAGTCTTTCCACTGATTGCAGATGATGTTAGGGAAGATCTGGATATATTATTAGTTTGCTCCACATGGCTAAGATTACATTCCTCTTACAGGAGGATGCAACAGAGTGCTCAGTTTCTCAAATATACATGTTACTGCATTACAGAACAGCATGGACATATTGAGGGCTGTTTCATTCCTAGCTTGACAATACCAGTATTGAAAAATGAATGTAATGGTATAGTAAATCAGTGTATAGTGGTACATTAAAAATAATGAATCTTGCTGAAGTGATCTTAAGAGTGTATTTCTGCATCTGGTAAGTAGTATTATGACAATTCCAGATGTCAAGTCTCAGACCATTATGATTTGAAATTTAATTAGAAAATACCCATAATTCAATCCAATGTCAACAAAGTAACTCCCTCTTCAGTAAGTGGAATCCAGCAATACCATATAAGGTAGCGTTTTTATTCAGGATTACAGTAACAAAATGAACTGTTAAAGCAAAGTCCAAAGTAAAAAATGCAACTTATTAAAATGCCTCCTTTGTTTTATAGTGCTTGTGTATTAACACAAACCATATTAAGCTGAATGCAGATGTTCTTGGCCAGCTAGTGGTTTCCCAAAGTTATTGTCTCAGCAACTGCCCTTTCACACGGCATAAAGGATCCTATGTTACTTTTTGCTTTCATGGATCTCACCAGGAATTGCCAGATCAAGTCAGCATCTCAAATCAGGAAGAAACATGTTAAAATAAAACACCACTTAAAATGTATAGCAGTTGTTTTTCAGCTGTAATCACTGACTGCAACTCTTGCCTTTTTTATGGCCAGTGCAGGAGGCTCTTCCTGAGAAATATGTTCAGGGGAACACAAAGAGGCAAATTTGTCTGGTAGGAATTCTGTTACAAAAAACACTGTCTAAAAGGCTCCTTTCTCATCAGCATTCCATCCCATGCACGTCCCAGTTGTATCTAGTGCCACAGCTACTCTCTCACTCCTGAATACCAAAAAGCAGCTAGGCAGTAGGTCTTGAGCAGTACCTAGTGCATGAGGGTCCCCAAATGGGAATATGATTGTGTGCTACAGTGGAATAAACTTCAGGCTTTATGGAAGTGCATCAGATACAGTCCAAATTGTTGTGTGATGTGCATAATGCATGTGACCTAACAGTCCTGGTACTGACAGGGTTGGGCCTTGAAAACACAGCTCAGTACTAACAGCTTAATCTGACATGTATTTTATCTTATTGACTTGGACCCTTTCCTTTAGTTGAAACCAAATCTTGCCTAAGACCTACCAGATAGTCTTGATTCAGCAGGCATCGGGAATGGAAGCTTGTCCCTCTCAGCAAATCACTTCGTTAAATTCTTTAATTCAGCATCTTCAAAACTTTTGAAAGGGCATCCCTGTTTTAGAAAACTAAATCAATCACTATCTACTTTAACTCCTCCCATGCTGTTGTCACTTCACATTTTACAAATCTCACCTTGACTAGAACTTCCATTTGTATTACAATCGGTTAATCACAAGAACACCTTGCAAATGCAAGCTACCAAACTCCGAAGACGAAAGGCAATTTCATACTTGTCTAAGGCAATTTTGACCTTTGTAGCACTTTTGAAAAAAATGTCACTCAGGTACACAAAATTGACAGGATAATCTACTTTCTGAAAACCATATCCAAAAAGAATTTCATGGTAATCTCTCTAATATTTAATGAGCACAAGGGCTCACCCCATAAACAGACCGAGCAAGTGGATTCCCTTGAAACCTATGAAGAATGAGGATGGTTTTTACACCGATTCTCAATAGAGAACTACAACTTTGTATTGTAGGGCATGTTTTCCTATTTTCCCAAAATTTACTTTCTACCAAATAGAAAAAGTAGAAAATGACCTGATGTACTCAAATCTTAGTTAATTGGTGAAAACTGACCACTCCTCAGCTATAGGAAAATATAGCCTTTGGTTTGGTTTCAGCACCATGATTTATGACATTATCTCTGTTGCCAGTTTCTTGAAAATTGAAGAGATTTTTAGAGATTTGCATCTATTCAATTTTTGTTTGGTTTTCTACACAGATATATTTAACCAGTAGTTTGGTTAATTTATCTAAATATTTCCTTTCCTCCCTACAAAATAAGCATATTACTTCTATGATTTTTAACAGATTATATAGAAGCTTTTGTGCTTGGTCATTCTTTTAAAAAATCTAAAATTGGTTTTCCCAGTAGATTTGGAATGTATTAAACTAAGTAGAATTCATTATTGTGCCTACATGACCTAACAGCAGGGTTTCCCTCTGCTTTCTTGCAATGTCTACCGAGATCACTTTGCCAAATTTCTAATGTCTATCTCACTTAGAAGAATTTTTAACAGATATTAACACAGATTCAAAAGTTTACCAGGCAATAGATGAATTTTCAAAAGATTTTATATGGTGTCATTTTTTAACTTACTTACATGGAATTTCCAACATACATACTTCATTTTTTTTCCCAAGAAGTATGTGAACAGTTCAAAATTTAAACTTCCTTTATCTTACTAAGGTCTGAACTTCTGTAATTTTACTTACATCTAGAATCCATTTGGATTGGTTGGTGTCTGTGGCTTAGTGCCTTCATGTAGCAAGGTCTCTGCCCAAGAGCTGCTACAGTAGTAGGCCACCAGGTACTCATCCTATAATCGTCCTAGATAAACTAATTATCTCTTTAATATATTTTTATTCTTTTTAAGCAAGCCAAGAAAATAAAAATCAGTAGTCTCTTTAGAATTTTTATTTCATACACTGAGGCGAGGTCTTTTGATGGTACAAAGGGCTTTAAACTATATGGGTTTTTCAAGTGCTGCACTATCTTTTTTTGTTCCATGTATAGGATAACATATGATGACATTATGTTATTTCTGAACTGTCCTTGGCATATTGTCAGTAATCCTCTACTCAAAAAATCCTGTTGTAAGGATCATACCTTACTTAGAGAACCCTTTAGGAATCCATCTGCAGCAGGTTACTGATAGAACGCAGTGTTTATTCACAGTGGCTACTGACAGGGACTTAATAATACACAAGAAAACTCCCATTACTGAGATCACTCATTATTATGCTTTCAACTTCAGCATCTTTTGAAAAATGAACGTGCAGGGCAGAAATATCTGCGGTCATTTTGTCCCTCGGATTCTTCACTTTTTAGGAGGCATTTATCTTCCTAAGAGTTGAGTGGCTGCAGTGGTATATGAAACAACCGAGGAAGCGTTTCTGTTCCTGCGAAGGCACCCACTGCAAAGAGCAGTGACACCAGAGCGAGCACACCCTGGGTACCTACCCAACCACCAGGAAGGTGCCAGGCACCTGGATTACCTGGATGACGCCCGGGCCCCGCGATAGGCGCGGGCAGCACTGCCCGCTCCGCTCCGGGCGGTGCCGGCCCGAGGCCAGCGCCCGCCCCCCCCACCGCCTCCCGCAGTCCCGCCCCTTCTCTTGATTGGGAGAGAGCGCAGAGGCCGCGCTCGTCATTGGCTCCTAGAACAGCGGCCACGCTCTCCATTGGCTGCCGGCGGTGCCGCTCGGGGCGGCGGGGCCGGGGGTGGCGGTGAGGCGGCGGGGCCAAGGCTCTGCTTCGCGGCGGCGGCAGCACCACTGGCACCGGCACCGGCACCGCCACCATGGTGAGCTCCGCCCGGCCGCACTCCCGACCCGGGACACTGGGGCTGGCTGGGGGGCGTCCGCCTTACCCAGGCCTGGGCCCATGGTGGGAGGGAAGAGGCTGAATCCACTTGGAAAGCGGGAAGCCGGGCCCCAGCCCTTTGTTTCGGGGGGAGATGGGGGTGATGTTTCCCGTGGTGGGATCGCTTCCCACCGGGGTGGTGGGAAGGGTGGGATGGGATGCTGCGGGGCGCGAGAAGGGGCTCTTGTGCCTGACCGTGCCGCCGCCTCGCCCTGCCCGCAGTACGGCTTCGTCAATCACGCCCTGGAGCTGCTCGTCATCCGCAACTACGGCCCCGCCGTCTGGGAGGACATCAAGTAAGTATATGTGTCTGTCTGTGTGTCTGTCTGTGTCTGTGCGTGTGTGTGTGTGTCTGTGCATGTATGTGTGTCTGTTCGTGTGTGTCTGCCTGTCTGTCTGTTGGCCGCGAGTCCGGGCGGGGCAGCGGGCCGGCAGCGGTGCCCAGGACGCGGCTTGTCCCGCAGCCGTGACAGGACCAGAGCGGCTCCTGCCGCGCCTCGTCCCCTCTCGGCCTCTCCTAATGCCGCCAAGGCCCGTCTGGTTCCACCTTTCCCGGTCTCCAGGAGCCGCAGCGGGGATGGCGTTGATCCCCGCGGTTCCCTGGGTTGTGCGGACTAAGTGGCAGAAATAATGTGCGGGCAAAACGCCCTGAAGCCGCGGATATGCCCGTCCTTGCATCCGGCCACCAGGTGAACCACGCAACAGTTGCATCCCTTCGCATCCCTGAAGGAGCTGAAATACAGCGTTTAGCTAATAAACGCGGTCTAAAACCAGTGTGAGATTTTGGTAATGTCCTCGCTTGAAATTAAAAAAAGTCACTGATTATACAGAGAAATATGTATAAGAATGTAAGTATAAGTATGATTTTTGGCTTTCATCTCTTGAACCTGATCTGTTATGCTCAACCCTTGCTTTTCTGGCAGTATAATGTTTTTCTAGGGAGCTGACTGCCTTGACTTTAAACCTTTGATGAATTGTGAGATTGCGCAAAAAGTTTGAAATAAGTAATGTAAACAAAATTCTATTTACCATAAATATGGTAATATTGATAATTGGGCAAAACCAAAAGAAATATTTTTAAAAAGACCTAAAAGCTTACAAAGTTGTAAGCTTACTTCATAAGGCTTTAGGTAACTAAGTAGTCAGAAGAAAGTATTTAATGTGATCTCTTGATATTGTATGTTTAAGGGAAAAGTCAATTATCCAACTTGGAGAAAGTGGTCTTCTTTCAACTGGATGCCACCTTCTGTATCCCTCTTTCCCATTTATTTTGGGCCAATTTTAATATGTCAGTGTCGATGTCAATGTTATAATATATTGCTGTTGTCCTAATACAATTTTCAGAGTTAAAGGACAGCTTTTGACTGTGAGATTTTTATTACCGTGACACATTCTCTTCATAAAACTGTTCCTTAGGAATGTGGTAATCTTACACACTACCATGAAATCAGAATTATAGACATGCTCTTTGGAAGGCATCTCTGGAGGTCATCTAGTCCAGTTTCTGTTCCAGCCTGCATGGTTACTGGGACTAGATTGGGGCTCAGCTATGACTTTTGTCTAGCTGAGTCTTTAAAATCACCAAAGGTGAGTCCACAGTTGTGGTTCAGCAGGTGTTCATTGTTCTAGTGATCCCTGACAGTCTATAAGTTACTGTTTGCAAATGCAGTTCTGTGGATAACATAGGTGAGTGTTAAGTGAATGCCACACAGTTTTGTGCTGCAAGTGAGGTATTTATTTTTCTTACATACCTTATCTAAACACACTGATCTATTTTGAATTCTTATAATTTGATTTTTTTAAATGACATGTAAGTTATGGGACAATAAAATAAAATAGTGACACATGCATAATTTTCCATGAAAATTATAACATGTATAAAATATAATAATAAATATTCACTCTTTCTTGGCATGTCATCCCTTACCAAGATGCCTTTTTCCAGATTACCCACTGCTAAGAATTTGTATTTAAGATCAATCCATCAGAGAGGGTACAAAGTTTCATCTTCTAATGCAAGAAAACTGTCAGACTGTCAAAACCCAGCTATTATTCCTGATGCATCCTATCTCTTAAGATTTTACAAACAACTAAAAGAATACTGAGGATAACTAAAGCCTATGAGGAGTGTTACTCATTTAACGTTTTGGACAAATTTACTAGGAAGATGCAAAATACTTTTCTAAGGTCGGCTATGAAAATTCGGGAAGCTGGTATGTCCTGTTTCTGTTCTTCATGTGAGAAACATTTGTGTCCTGTAGCAGCCCAGCAGGTAGGCTCTGCCATTAGCTCACAGAGAAGATGGCTTTCTGAAAGGAAACTGTAGCATGACACCACCCAAACAGACAAATGGAACGTGAGCTGCAAGAAGGAGCTGACGTATATGCAACAGCTGCCATAGTTCCTTATGGAAAAGGCATTCACAACAGGGTATTTGTTCAGCAGGATTTAGTTTAAAAACTAATGTATCCTTGCGTTTAGAAACCAATAAACTAACCCCTGTATATTTCACTGTAACAGATTATAGTTGGTGCTGATTTAAGGAATGGTACAGGGTCCACTGATAGCCACTAAATTTTTAGGTACTTTTGGTTCCTTTAGTGCACTTACAGAGATGTTATGGAAGAGTTTGGGTGTTTAATCTTTTATAGGTAAATACAAACTTCTTGCAAAGGCTTTGTTAGAATTGTCAGTCATTTAGAAAACAACAGGAAGATACAGACCAGTGTTGTGGCATGCTGAGTGGAATCAGTTGAATCACTCATGACTGCAGAAGTAATTGTTGAAGTCAACAGTCTTTGGCTGTTTAAAAAAAATTGAGAGGAACTTTGCACTATTAGTGTAGTTGAATTTGCAATACTACATCAGCATTTTTGTGAAGCAGAAAGGCCTCTGGGTAGTTCAGCACAAAATTTATCTAAGCTTTTTTTTGATCTGATCACATACTGCTATTTTGTTCTCTCTGAACTCACTCCAGAGATGTGAATCAGCAGAGTGGTGGGTTGTGATTGCTGAGTGATTCTCAAATGCCAGTGGGTGAATTTGTACTTAATATTGATAGAAGGTAAAAGAAAACATAGAACTGAATAAACTGGAGTAATGAAAACAGGTCATTCTTCAACAAAAATACATTCAAAAAAGTTAAATACTGAATTGAAAGGGTATGCTCCATCTGAAGCATGAAAACACTTCTGTAACTTCTTCGGTCAAAAGTGACATTGGATGAAGTTCTTACATATAGAATTTGGAAGTCCAAACAGTTGAATTTGATGCTCTTAAGAGTGGTGTTTTCATTGCCATCACTTAGTGGTGTTATCTGAGTCAGAATGATGACTTCAAGTCTCTGTTTCTGCTTTTTCATTAATTTTTCCATGTTCTTAGGAAACTACGATCTGTCAAAAAAAGATACATACTGATTTTGTTTTTAAATTCCCCAGAGTGGAATTCTTGGGAAAGTTAGGCTCCATGTTTTTTTTCATCCACTTTAAAAACAAATCATAACTAGATAACGGACTTTTTTTACACATCACGCAGCCTTTACAATGAAGCTTGGGGGAAATATTGCAGTATATACTTTGATATATGGCTTGGTTTTGCTAAAGAACTAGAATTAAAATGCTTGAAACACAGAGTGATTCAAAGCCCTTTATTTTTGAACCAACTTTCTGGATCCCAAATAGGCTGAATTCAAAATAACATGAAGAAACCTGGCATATAAGCAGTGAAAGTTAATTTTGATTTGTGGAACCTTTACTCAATTTCTCAACAGGAAAGTCTCAAAAATTTTTTTCTCCTTGCTTTTTCTCTGGCTACCACTCATGGAATTGAGAATTTGAACTTGCAGACAGTTCTTTTTGTGATGAAGCCCTGGAATCATTAGAGGGATTTAGCAAAGCTGGATGAGCGAGAGGGAGCAAGAGGAAAGTCCTGTAGTTGCTGAATTCTGCAGTAGCAGATTTTTCTTAGTGGGAAGTGAAGGTGATCAGCATAGTAATTTCTTGTGCTTACTGGCACTTGTAAGCTCCCTCTACATTGCTCGTTGTTATTCACTTCTTCAGTCCTTGGAAGGGGAGACTTAGGACCCAGAATACATGGAAACAGACTTCTTTGATCAGCACTCACTAGCTCTGCAAAGAGTTATTAGCAAATAAACTGTTCCTTAGAGCTGTTAGCCACATTTTTGCTGAGAAGACACTTTGCATTTGTTCCTTCCCTGCTTAAGAGAAAACCTCTGTCAAATCCCTTATTTTGTCACTGTTACATCCAGAGGACTATTTCAGATTGTGTGGCCATGGTTGCAATGGCTTGAAAGGGTGGTTCTCAAGATTCCTTTGGCATTAGATATCTTCAAGTCCTCTGCAGCCAGCATAAACGCTAGCTGACATAAACTGGAAGTTGTCAGGCTTGACCATTCCCACATACGTGCAATTCTGTACTCATGTCTGTTTAAGGTCAAATTTGTACTGCTGGGTGATAAGGGTAGCATGTGAACTTGATCCTAATTAGTGTTTGTGGAATTACTGTCTATGTACCTGTCCTAGACAACACAGAGAGATTACTCACATTTTAAAAATAAATAAAAGTTTCCAAGGCTTAAGAAGTTGTCTTCACTAGTATGTTTTTGTGTTGGGCATATTTTTATGGTATATGGTAATACATTTTTAAAAGGGGTCTCTATCATGATAAAATCTGAGCTCTTCTGCAACAGG